CACCAAAACGCTGTTTTTCTAGGTTAAAACCGGCATAACTGTTTTGCTCTTTAAGATATAGCAAATATGATAACACCATTCGAAAGAGCAATTTCACAAGCATTTCATTTTGTGTTTACTCACGAAATAATCCAGTTTTTGTTAATTTCAGCTAGACTTTTATTCTGCATTTAAACCTGAGCAATTGTCAAATATGGGCTATCCAAGTAAGAAAAATTTATTCATGTAATAAGCTTGAAAACCATGTGCTTTTTTCCTAGGATAAAATGTGTGGTGATTAGTGACCGTTAACCGATAATTATTCAGAAATCGTGAGTTGCGGTCTGGTGTGATGTAGGTTTCAGAAAAACATTTTCTTTCAAGAAATCGTGTCAACGTTTCGATCTTTATTGAGGTCATCTTCAGGGCTCAATAAATATCGAAACGTTGGCACGATAAAGAAAATGTTTTTCTGAAACCTACATCACACCAGACCGCATCTCACGATTTCGGAATAACTAGGATAAAATGATCATTAGTGGAAAAATACGGTTTGAGTAAGAAAATTATGACCAAAAGGTGGCGAATGCTTTCCTTTTTTATTCATATTGATAATAAAATATAAAATAATTACTTTTAAAAATAAAATAACGTCTCGTTTTTAAGAAAAATATAATTAGTGGAAAAAAATTGACAAGGAGGAGAAAATCCGCCTTAATATCCTGATTTGATGTGGCTGTTGTGTTCACAAGAGAACTTGGCTACTTAATTATTACCCTCCTTTCTCTTTGTTGTTACTATCTAATAATTATTTCTAAGCAGAGTTCTTATTAGGGTCTACTTCGGTAATTTTTCAACGTTTACTGACAACTTCCACTGTTTGAACCACTGTTCAATGAAGTGTCATGGGGTTGCGGTTTTCCGGTTAAGATTAGAACGAAGGATTGCGCGTGTCATAAAGGGTAGGAATTTCTGCGGTGTATACTGTAGAGGGTGGGTCCTAAGATACGTCCTTGTAGTACCCCTGCATCTGTGCGATAACCGGCTGATGATTTGAATGTCTCTGACGGTTAAGTAGGATTTTAGGGCGGAGCAGCTCCGCAAGACATTCACGATCGCAGGCTACACGAATACACCGGAGCAGTACTCCTTTTGATCTAGAGCGGTAGAGATGTATTGTCATGTCAGGACCTTGGTGCCCTGGTTAATGAGAATCGTGACCCTAAAAAAGAGATAAGGGCCCGAATAAAGATGGCTAGAGCTATTTTCTTTCAAATGTAAAGCGTTTCTATTCATTCTATGCTTAGTTTGAGAATTAGAATGATAGCTAAATATTCTCGGTCCTGTATGTACCATGGCCTTTGAGGTGTATTTATACAGCCGCGCACCGTGGATCCAGGGAGTAGCAGAGAGAGGAATTAGCAATTTTAGTTTTCTGAAAATCACCCTTCGAAGAATAACCACTTCTTTCATCAATATAATAGTATTATAGAATAATACAACTGTACACTGTTCCCACTATATTCACAAACTACTCACATGGAACGCACACACACGACTCGAAATATAAAAGCTTGTTAGAGGCTGAAGCAGCCTTGTTAAAGATCGTTCAGGTCGCAGAAAAAGAAATGAAGTCTGGTCAGCAAAGAAGTCTGCTATCGGTACAAACTGTCGATACGTACTAATAACTTACAACATAAAATATGGGTCATTCACGTGTTCTGTGTTATACGACTGTCCTCCGGAGAACCCGATCAGTTCGGTTCCCTTTTCCTTCCTACAAGTCGGAAAAAATACAAAGTCCTAAGGTATCAAGGTGTTTATTGTATAAACATGTTTTTCCCTTTACACACGAGGGCAGGTAAAATAATTCCCACCCCCGCATACATATTTCAGGTCATGAACCAGGGCCATCAATTGAAAAACGAGATAATATTATGCATGGAATTACACCGTCCCCCACATGAGGTGCACCCCCGTCCTATTATACACGCGTTTACCCAGGAGGACACCGAGACATGCAAATGCGTTGAAAATACAAAATCAACATAAAACGTGAAAAGCTTCTACTTCCCGCCTTCCGCGACGGCGATGAAAACTTGTTTGCATTTCCCAATAACACCTCGCTCTACCGCGCTCCCTCCGTATAATTCTTATTGGATTTTATTTATTCCACTTCTAGCGATTTCCTTGAGAATGGTTTACGTTTTATCCTTTTACACGTGACAATGAGATTTATACCAGCTCTTACAATTTACATTTACATTACATGTGAGAAGAGCAGTATGCCCTTATAACAGCTTTCTGCATTATGAAGCGAAATGTTCAAAAGTATAACAGATAAAACCTGACTGGTAACTCCATCTAAATCATGTGTTATAACTCGTTTGCAGATGAAAACCAGTGACAACATTTCACAATCCTGTAATATAAATTATTTTAAAAAACCTTTTATTATATATTTATGTCCGATAAAATCAATTGTCACGCTTCAACATTATAATTTGTTTTATCATCAAGATCCAAATTATTCGTTCTATTGTAAACGGTTTCTGAGCCCTTTATGACTTAGAGCGAAACTTAGCAATTTTATGATAGTTTAGCAGGAAATCCCGTTAGTTTAGGTTGGCGCCAAATAAATCAGTTTGTCGATACACGATCAGAAACAGCAGGATCTACATTGCGCCTTCCCTAAAATCACGGGATTTCTAGTTAATTGTATACAAAATTGCTAATGCTGCCATTGCTCTAAAGCTACTTTGGACAATAAAACGGTTTAATTACAAACTAGATATGAACAATTTTATTTTTGGCTGGTATAACAATCGATATAAGATGTCGTCAAGAGGTGAAGAGCCATGTAAGAAGTAGAAGATGTCAAGATTAAGTTCCAATTTAAGTTCCATCAAATATTTCGAATATATTTTCTTCATCCGGTCTGCTAAAGGTAAAATAAATATTTTTTTAGAGACTACCGACAATGGAGCCATATCAGCCCCCAACGCACTCCAAGCGCCGATGGTGTACTAGATATTCCTCAATCGGCCCACACAAACAAACACATATATAGATACATACAGACTGCAGAGCTGCACAGTAATTATGCATAATATTTACAAGATTTACAAATGCGGAAAACCTCGTTTATCTTAAAAATAGGAGAAGGGGCCCAACATACTCTCGTGCCAAAGGACTGCCTTTATCTCGAGTGCCATGTCCTTACTCGCTCCCTGTAAGAGGCCAAGGCATGACATGGTCGACCCAGTGTGACAACTGAGCACACTTTCTATACAAGGGGTTTGCCCCGAAATCAGGTGTCCGTGTGTAAGGCCTATCCTCAAACTGGTGAGCACGGTCACTTACGTGCGTTTCAGATCGTGCAGTCGAACTACTGGCATACAAGAGCTTCTCGGACGATCCGGCCGAGACTATTTCAAAATGTTCTCCCAAGGGTAAACATTCTGTTTTCTTATTGTTTTCAGTTTATCAGGTATTAATAAGTTAAGAAAGCAACAAGCCGAAGCTGAAAACTGCCCTCCAGTGTAGATGGACGACAGAACGTCCTGGACATTTACACACGGAAAAAGGCACTCTGTAATTGAAGGATTTCGGTCCACACGTTGGAAAAAGAAGAACAAAACAAAATTATATCGTACGCTTGGAACAACTTTTCTCATTATAAAAAGAGCTCTCCCTGGGGACATAAGACTCTGGTAGTTACCAGATTTCGGTAAAAACAACCACCAGCAAATGGGATATAGTTCATTATTTCATAAAGCGACGTTCCAAAAAGATAGGCCCAAAAATAAGGAATTATTTTAAAACCAGAGATGCAAATTAAAAATAATCTTACCTTTTCTCTACATCGCGTAATTAATGCTCATATCCTAACGTTTTAACTACATATTAAATTCAGAAAGAAAAAAAAAACTATTAGTCACTCTTATGTATTAGTGTGTGTCGCTGTCACGTAGGAGGTCGCGAGGCCAGGCGACTTCAGTCGTCGGGGAGGATTATTTGGGAGGGTGAGGGATGAAAGGTTTCTGACATGAGGGTTTGTGTGATAGGATAATTGCTTCTGAAACTTCTTGGTAGCTGTTTTGCGTTATATCAAATACATGAGGGATATTAAGGTCATTCTGAATGGCAAGATTGGATAGGGATTGAATATATTGTAGGTTTTGTTGAACCCTTTTTATGAGCTGTATGGTCGAATGGGTATCAAAATAGTAATATAGATGAGTCATTTGTTTTGTAAAGTCTGTGTTGAATGTTTGTCTAGAATTGTGAATGGTCTGTTTAGTGTCTTTTGAGTCGTGTGTGCGGGAGGGATGTAAGTCGTTTGTCAGTGCATAGGATGGACTTCAGGTTTCCCATGGCTGATTCCTGTTCTGGTCCCCAATGCCATTTTTCCTTCTTGCGGAGCAGTTTCGTTAACGGGGAACACACGGTAGAAAAATTAGGGATAAACCTCCGGTACCACGAGGCAAAGCCTAAAAATCTTCGGAGGTCCTTAACATTGCTGGGAGATGGAATGGATAAGACAGCTTCAACCTTCGAAGGGTCAACTTTTAGGCCTTGCTCATTAACTATAAACCCTAAATATTGGAGTTCGGAACACCCAAACTCGCATTTTTCGGGATTCATTTTTAACCCTGCTTGGCGTAATCGACAGAATACAATTTTTAAAAATTTCAGGTGTTCTTCAAATGTATTCGTAGCGATGATTATATCATCTAAGTACGCAAAACATATTGGTGCTAATTCAGGTCCAATTATCGAATCAAGGAGGCGTTGAAAGGTGGCGGGGGCTCCACACAACCCGTAAGGCATCCTTTTAAATTGGTAGAGGCCCCGACCTAAAACAATAAAGGCCGTAATCTGCCTGCACTCCTCTGCTAGAGGAATTTGCCAATATGCATGTGCCAAGTCCAACTTTGACATATATTTACAATTTTTAAGTTGGTCTAAAATATATGACATATTAGGTAGAGGGTAAATCGTACAGTAAAAACGATGATATGCCATACCTGGGTGTGGACGATGGAAAGTGGGACATGTACTTGTCTGAAATCACTTTTGCTCTAAATTCAAGTGCTCATGCGTCGACGGGCTATAGCCCGGCCTTTATAAACTTTGGCCGCGAATTAAGGCAGCCAAACACATTGAGGTCTGACTCAAAAGAGATGGGTCATTATTCGGATCCCACTACTTGGCAAAGGTCTTTATGTGCTTTACAGGAGATTCGTCTACTAGTAGAGAAGAACCTGTCAACAGCCAGCAAGAGGCAATTCCGCTACTACAATCTCAGGAGGCGCCCCGTCAAATATGATGTTGGAGACTGGGTAATGAGGCGAGCCCATCATCTGTCGTCTGCCGGGAACAAGTTCGCAGCGAAACTTGCTTCAAGATTTGAGGGTCCCTTCATTAACACGAAGATGATCAGTAACAACGTCTACGAGTTGGGTACTACCGACGGCAAGAAAGCCAGCCACTGTCACGTAGCTCAGTTGAAGCCGTACCATTCCACCGAAGTACTACCCCTCAAGGCCACCACACCTTCTGCAATCCCTCCTACAAGATCTTCCTGAACCCGATGCTGCTCGAGGGTTCTCCGCTTTAAAGGAAGGGGGGAGTTGTCACCGGGTAATTAAGTTGTGGCCCGGAGTTGGTGTGGATGTTGTTGGCTCGGACGCTTTGAACTTTGGCCGGAACTGGAGCGGGCGGAGAGGAAGCCATATCAGCACGAGTCGTCCTACGAGCGTGTTCGAAGATTTTTTCATCTACCGGACTATCGTTTCCTTTCTCGTCATCGGATACCGTCTCGTGTCTGTCTCGGAGAAGATCAAGAGTGAGTGCTCACTTCAGACATTTTATTGTATGTTAAAGGCCTAAATGTTAAGTATATAGTTTTAGCTTAGTTAGGATAAGTAACTTAATTTAATTTCGTTATGTGTAAATATATTTAGTTAACCATCACACTTTTATTTCTTTGTGTTTTCTTTAATTTCTTTACTTAACAAATAGTCAGGTCCATTGCGAACACTCCCGTCTCACGCGGAGCTATCTCCTGGCGCCCGTACAAAATTTTCTTTTGGTCTGGACAAACCAGACCGGGGGTTACAGCACAATGTGATGTGATGGGGATATTGCAATAGATGAGAGCAGAGGTTTAATTCTTGATTGGAGAAACAGAGATGCTCTCACTTTTGTGTATTGATTGTCACCTTCCACCGTTTGACTGACTACTAAAGACGTGTGGTTACGGTTTGATTGAGATGTGAGCAAAGGATGGTGGTATCATCCACAGAAGTGGTAAGGATAGTGTCAGAAAGGATAGGAATGTCTGCTGTGTACACTATGGAGGATGAGCCCAAAGATACTTCCTTGCGGCTCTGCATCTGTGCGATAGCAGGCTGATCAAGAAGGGCCACTAATGACTTAAAACTATCCGCCGGTTAGGTAGGATGTTAGTATCAGGTAGTATTTAAAAGGGAAGACTCTCTTAAACTTACAGAGAAACTCGGAATGCCATATCCGATCGAGGGCTTCACATCTAGGAATACACAGGACTAGCACTCCTTTTATTCTAGAGCGATAACGATTATGTATACAACTCGACAGCACAGCTGAAAAGTGGAATGAGAACGTCTGAAACCAAACCGTGTTCAGGAGTTACAGGAATGAAGAACGTGCGATGAAAAATAATGGGAAGCAGGGGGTTCTACAGGATTTTGATCATTATAGGCAACTAATTGGACGGTAGTAGGATAGAAGGTGATGGAAGGATTCATTGGAATCAATCGAAAATATCCATTGGGATGGTAAGTATGTCGTTTAAAGAGCAGAATTGTAAACTTAGGTAAGGGAAAAGCTTTTTAAGCGTGTAACAAGAGCAAAAAGAGAAGCTGTTTTAGTGGTATATGGCTTATAGTATAGGATACTCTTCGTTCCTGCAGTTCTTAGCTCTACAGCTCTTCGCTCAGACTGTTCTTAGCTCCAACAGATCTTCGCTCATATATTTCTTACAGCTATTACATCTCACAGCTCTTAGTTTATATACTTTTTAGCTCCTATAGGGCTTAGTAACTACAGTTCGTAGCACCTGTAACTACAGCCTTAATTCTAACAGTTCATAGCCCCTCCAGCTCTTACCTACCACAGCTCTTAATTTTTTAAAAATGAATTTCAATATATTATTGGCAATAATAATACATGAGAAAGGTTAAACAGCTCGTCATTTCTTTCATATAACAACCTTGTAATTCAGACATTCAACTTTTACGATTGTTCTTGGACCTGACACACCGGATTCGAAAAAGCATGCCAAAGTTCCAAAAAGAGCTGATTTAGTTCACTGAGTGAGCGGTTTTGATCCAGTTGTTAAAAAGAGACGTCTTTCTCATCCTCTGTGAGAACAGACCGACCAAATGGATTTTAAGCTGCAGAATAGTACGGCTAGAAATAATAAAAATGTAGTACTCAGATATAAGTAAATTTTTGTGTAATAAACTAATGGAAAAAAGTAATAACATTTCAGGTGCAACAAGAGACACAATTAATCTTTAATCTTCTGACAAATTGAAATGGAAGGAAAATTCATCATGGAAAAGGGGTAAACGTTGGCGTGAATAAATAAAAATCATTTAGCTTATTGGATAAAGTGGGAGAAGGATTAGTATGTTTAATTTTTTATAAGGTATCGTGACTTGTCTCGTGTGAATCAAGTTTGATATAATATAGGATGTTTATGAGAGGGTGAAGGGACCCCAACGGGGTGACAGCGCGGGGGGGCAGCTGGCCACCCTCTGAAACCCCACTACTAGATATTAGTCACATGTGATATTCTATATTCTCAACCGGCAAAATTAACTTGTAATCACAACCGACAGATTTACATGGTTTTATTGCACTTGGGGTTCTCCCGCTTTGAATTCCATTACTGTCATAATTAAGAAATGGTTCCGCCCACCCTCGACTGTTTTACGGGTTGGGGGAGCGGTTATTAAAAATAGATAGGGGCACACACATTTCGCTAATAACCTCTGGGCCACAGATGCAGATTTTCCCCGATGAACACCCTCATCAGAAGAAAAAAGAGACCTGGTGTGTTTGCATCTACGCGAGTTTAGTACTACAGTAATAATCCAGACCCTCCGTACGTTATGATTAGAGGATTTCTCTGTTTATTGCGCATTTCGTTTACTAGAGTTTATAACTGATGGACTTCATGGATCGGTTCTATTCTCTTAGTGGATCTTGAACTCTAACAAAGGAATTGGTAAATAAAAAAGGGTAACAAGAAAAAAGGTTTTTAATACAAAAAAATTAAAATAAAGAAAAACAATCAAGCAAAATCAATCTTGGTGTTCCTTAGAACAGGGCTTCCCAAACTTTGTAGCCAGCGGACCCCTTTCACAGAAACCCGAAGTTTTATAAATTAAGCATTCGATTCCTCATCGCGTTTTAACTAACTTTATTAAAAAATCCGAAACCCAAAAATCCAATTGTACAGAATGGAATCAATAGTTACTTAAAACGAGCCACATTCAAAAGTAATTTGAACATTAATGATTTATGAATTAATGTGAAAAGCGAGGATGTTATAGCCTGAACAATTTGAACATGTTGGGTATAATTTTTGACAACTGGAAACGGATGCCCGGTTCAGATTCTAGATGGCTTCAGTATTTAGTTATGGTGGACAGAAAGTCCGGATTTGCTAAGTAAATTATGGCAAATGGAAGAAGAACTGAAGGCTTTTTCAGCGAACGGTTGAAATGTTTTGCTTTCCAGGCTGAGTCAAAACGGGAGTTAGTATCGGACTAGATTTCATGGTGGGGTCTGAAGTAATGTCTATCATACATTCGTATTCACATGAAGATAGGCTGCTTGGTTTTGTCGAAATTGCAAACGATTTGAAGCAGCATTGTAACTCGAGCTGTTGGGAAGTGCTCAAACGACATCTCTCAGCTTCGAAAGTGTTCACATATTTCATCAACCACTGTGCCGTTCGCAAGCTTCAGTTTGTTTTCTTTAAAAAAGGTCTTTTAACACAAGAAAACATTCCACCTCTTACTTTGTCATTGTCATTAGCAACGAAAGTTGTCATACTCTTCTCTTGCAAACAAATACTCATCGCATTCATTTTAAAGAAAATATCTGACAAAAGCGACAACCTTACCATTTCTCATCATTGAAAACGTTGGCCAATTTGACATTATGGTTCATTAACAGAGATAAGACTTCAAAACGTTATTCCTATAATCGTGCAACTGCTTACCCACGTGACGGTCACTTCAGCTCTGTATGACGAATCAGAGAACGATGCTTCCCAATCGTCAGCATTGTGAAAATTCATGACTTCAATGGCCGCGACTTGATATAATAAATAATTTAAACAAACTCATCCAAAACTTTCTTAAAAGAGACTGGCATGTGTTTCATAGCTGAAACATGTCTGTGGAGAACACAATGACTGCTGCTGCAAAATAAAAACTTTCCATTTCACTACTCATTCTTAGTAGCTTTTTAAATTTGATTAATTATTAATTTTTCTCGAAGTTCGCTACCGGCCCGCTAGTCAAGGTCGGCGGATCACAATTTGGGAGACCCCGCCTTAGAAAATAAAAGTAAAAATTAGATCCTTTTCTTTTCATTTGATTACAATAAAAAAGCTAGTTGAAAATGTTTAACTGCAACGAGGACGTGGGGACGCTTTCCTTTCCCAAGGATGCAAGGATATCTTAATTTCCTTTTATTTTCTTCCTCATCCGCCTCGAACACACCACGCGAGATCCGAAAAAACAAGAAAACCTCCCTCTTTACTTTTTATCTCCCGAGTCCTCTTTTCCCGCCCTGGAGGTGTCGGCTTGTTTGTCTCGTGGTCTGATCCTTTTCTCGCAGAAAATTCTCCAAGCAAATATGTCAAAAATTACCACTAATATTTGTTTCAATTTCCAACCACTACTCAAATGTATTAATTGAATTAAAATTACTAAGATTATTTGTTATGAGTAGATCAACATTTAAATTAGTTATTAATTCATTTATGTTTTAGTGGTCAATTGACCAAGTTACTTCTTTCAATTAATTATTCTTTTTATGTAAGGTTTTGCTTGCGATAAAAACGTCAGTGTCACGAGCGGGATTCGAACCCACGACCTTTTATCTTTGTTTTTTATCTCAACCAAAACCTTACATAAAAAGAATAATTAATTGAAAGAAGTAACTTGATCAATTGATCACTAAAACATAAATGGATTAATATATAATAAGTAAAAGAAGTATCACTTCACTAACAGCTCACCGTGGCCACTTCATATGTCGCCGAGAATCGAATCCTGTTACACGACATTTGAAAATGGCAAAAAGAGGAAAAAACCGAAGGTTGTAGTTTGAGATGGAGGGTTGGTGTCCGAGTGGATCGAAGTCACGATAGCTCAAGGGTAGAGGAGCGCCGTATTTAGCCGAAAGGTCGTGGGTTCGAATCCCACTGACTTTTTTATCTCAACTAAAACCTTACATAAAAAGAATAATTAATTTAAATTAGTTCTGATTTATGACCTAAGAATATGATTTTTTGCCTCGC